CAGGTTAAATGTGTTAAGACAAATGAGGTTGTTTTGACTAGTAAAGGCTGAATTGGCCAACCGACATCTAATGTGGTCATTAGGTAAAACAGACTTTTTTTTACAGACCAAGTAAACCTTAGTCTTTCCAAACTCCTGATGAAGCTTAAGAGAAATATTTTTTTTTTTAAATTTCCATTAACTTAATTGTATGAAACAGAAAGTCATAAAACAGTAAGGAAGAACAGTAAGGAACAGTAAGGAAGAACACATATAAAATTAAGTGTACAGATGTAGCAATAATTGCTCATGTGAATGAGAAGATATGAGTGCCATGGTTTGCTTGATAGCATTCCATGATTACAGTCATCTTAAGAAATCTTGCACAAGTAATGGGGCCACTCCATGTGCTTGCTTCATTCTGTATGTGACTGTCATATGTCTGCATACTGTTAACCATGTTTTGCCCTCTGCTTTTCTTGTGTGTGTTATCTACACATATCACAGACTCCCATGATATCATGAGGGTTCATAAAATAACCCATTCAATAAAAAGTCTGCTGCTTTGTTTTTGGAGGTAAAAATAGTCAAGTGTAGATTTATAAATGTAATTAATGTACAGAAAAGCCTTTTCGCATATAGGCAAATAAGTCACGGGTATATAATGAACGTTTGTACTATTTATTTTAAAGTGTGCTACTGAAAAGAATACAATGATAAATGCCATAGTTCCTATAGTGCATATCATGCATGGACATTTCTGAAAAGAGAACAATCCTATTAGCCTTGCAGCAACCACTACCTTTTAGTATCAAACTTGCAACGGAAAAATTACAGCTACAATTGTTTTGGACAATGCATAATGTTTTCCTTCCAGATGATCTGGTGTAAGTTCAACTTCATGTTAAATCCATCCTCCATATGTACAGCTAGTGCAGGCTTTATTTAACGTCTTGAAAAAAATATATTCTCAACTCTGATAATCAGCGTGCAATTAAGACATAATTTCTTTCAAAACATGAATTTCTGTAACCTACAAACCGAACTGGTAGTGTTTAAAGCAAAAACAGATTATTTTAAAAGTAAGGTGTGCATCCTAAATCGCTGGCCTTGTCAGCTTGCATTACACACTTTGTTGTTCAAAGGCGTCAATTATCTCTTTTATTACTAATAGGAGCAGTGTGATTTAATACGATGAAGTGTTGTCAGTATATTTTACATGCTCATGCCAGGATTTTTCAGTCAAATATGCTCCGGGTAAAGTCCTTTTTAAAGACATTTTCTTTTCAAGATTTTCAATGGTACACATCATAAAATATACCAAGAACCAACAGTCAGTGTCATATTCTAATGTTCTGAAAAGTTGTGAATCAAACCTCTAAAGCACAGATCCTCAACCAGTTGCTCACAATTCACAAGTGGCTCTTAGCTACCTTTCATGGTAGGGTTTCTCAGTGGGTGCTTATCTTTTAATATCATGCCTTAAGACTTACTGCATTACATACTTGTCATTATCCACAGGTCAAATGGAGGTAATGAAAATAATAGCTTCACCAGCAAAAATGTTTCCATAGCCATTTTCACTCATGTTTACAGTGGATAACCCATTACTTATATTTGCTGTGGCTTCTGAGCTGACAAAGGATGAGGATCTCTGCTGTACAGCAAAGTCTTAATTTTATTTTTGGATGTATAATAGGTATTCCATTATGTATACAATCTGTACAATCTTGCATGGTCATAACATAGTACATTTAGTTAAAATTAGGGGTTTGATTTTTCTTGTAATATTGTTAAAATATGCAAAAAAAGGCTTCTAAAAAAAGGATCTTTATATAGTATAACCACATTTTTAAACATGGATGCATCGTAACTTTAAGGAAACAAGGTACTCTTGTATCTATTGAAGATCAGTGTGTAATCTATAATTCATCAATCAGCATACAGCATGTGTTTCAGACAAAGTTCCTAATGCGTTTCACACAGCCATTAAGTGCACGTATGCGTGAACCGTGTTAGAGATTTTGTCAGTCAGATGCTGTATGCCGCTGAATTAAAGATAACACACTGATCTTCAATAGATACAGGAGTGCCACATTTGTTTGTAATTACAGTGTATTTTGAGGCTGGTTGCGAGCTTGTGTGTGCACCCTAGCAGCGGATCCAAGTGGAGCACCTGAAGCAGCACCTAGTACATGTGCTTTGAAACATGTATTGCAAGCAATATCTATTGCTACAGATTCTGACAAAATGCCCATTAGTTAATACAAGTATTAATTAAATTTAGGGCTGCGTAAATTAACGATTCATTTTTCGATTAATCGTTAAACTTTTTGATCGAATAAAATTCTTTTGATCGCTAATGAAAACAATCACCTCTCCGCCGGCTTCCGGGAGTTCCGGACATCAACGTCACCGGACTCCTCCCCCTTCCCCAAGTGGCTCCTCCCCCTTCCCTTCGTTAGCCGACGGAGCCACTTGGGCCGGTGAGTTTGCCCTAGAAACTTTCTGAACGAGCGCCAGCCAAGGCATTGGCCTATACACATACTGCACAGCAATGAAGTAATAAAATGACCTAGGATCACACTAATCCAGCACGTTATTGAGTGGAGTTGCCCCACTCAAGCGGCGGCCATATTGAGTGGGGCACATGAGATTAATAACGTGCTGGATTAGTGTGATCCTGGTTCATTTTATTACTTCATTGTTGTGCTGTATGTGTATAGGCCAATGTAGTTGGATCTGTATGTGCGTTATAATTAATCGAAATTAATCGGTTAAAAAAATTTGATTAATCGAACACGAAAATTTTAATCAGTACCAGCCCTAATTAAATTATTTGCCTTTATTTGCATATTAAAACACATTCATTTGTTCAAATACCGAAATACTTTGTTTGTATCATCTAATATGATGTTAGGCTTTTGTATTTAGACGGGCATTATTTGGAAATTTTAAAACCACGTTTAGCCTCGTACAGAAATAGGCTGTTAATGTTTCTTTAATTTCACTTGCATGAACTGGGTTTCAGGAATGTGCAGATTTTCTTTGTTTTTCTTTTTAGTCAAGTAAATGTAAAATATTGTTTATGAATTTGACTTATTTAACATTTACAGCTAGCAGGCAAAATAGACCTGAAAAAAGAACACCCCCTTGCTCTCTCCTGGAAGCCTTACTGTCAGTCTTATTAGTGTAATGGATGCTACCTGAAATACCTGTTTATCTATGCAGTGAATATTTTATTTAACCAATTTAAAAATATATTACACTTAAATATATAAATGTAAAAAACGCTAAAATGAAACCAAAACTTAAGATGCATAAAATAATAATTTGCGAACATTGTGAATATTGAATATAAAGTATAAGTAGTAAAAAAAAGTAATGAATATGTCTTGTTTGTAGAAATATTCAAAGCATTCTTCAAGAACAACATACAAAGCATATTTGTTCACCAAATACATTTAGCTTTCCTGTTTATCTACAACTAGGGATTGTTTCACACTGTATCAGCTCAGGTCCACACTTTTTTGTAAAGGGAAACTTTGAATGCCACAGCCCTTTACCTACCACAGCTGTTTACTGGTTAGCAGCACAAAGCACCCAGTTTGGTTCACTGTGCTTTTACTGGTAAATTGTGAAGTGGTATTTTTAATCCCCTGCAATATCCATATAATGTCCTGGGGAAATTTCCCACTGGCGACACCTGTTTTGTGTCAGCTGTCTAAGAGGGGATCTTCACCCTTTCCCCTCATTTTGGAGAGATTTCCCATTACTCCTTGTTGTATCTCCAGTGGAACACAGACCAAAAACCTGATTGGGTCTTAAACAAAGCTAAAAAAATAGTTTTCCCTACACTTAAATCATAACTACTTATTAGTTAATGTGTGCACTCTAAAAGAAACTATAAAAACACATAGGGGGGAATCATAGCAATTGCAAGTGCTTAAACTTGCACGGAATATATTTGATGCACTTTGTACCAGATATATGCTGCTAGTGTAATGTTGTTCATAAATGAGATTAGACTCCAGGAAAGAAGACTCCTATCTCCAGGCAAAAAGCTTAACTGTCACTTCTTGAAGAAGTGGTCATGGGGACTTCTTAAGTTGTGATTGTTTTGTTAGGTGATGCTCCAGTTTCAGACAGCCGCAGAAAACAAGTGCAGATGAAAACAGGTGCAAAAAATGTGCAATTGAAAAAGTAGTGCGAGCTCTGGTCAAAACAGGTGCAAAACAGATGCAAAAAACATGCAATTGAAAAAGTAGTGGAAGCTCTGGTCAAAACAGGTGCAAAACTCGTGCAGTTGAAAAAGTAGTGCAAGCTCTGGTCAAAACAGGGGCACATGATAAAAGACAGATTTGCACTTAAACAAAAATTATCTAAGAGGCTAAAACTGTCGCAATTGCTTTGATAAATTCCCCCCATAATTCATAATTACCTTTCCTATGTTGCTAGCTATTTATTGAGGATGTATACAATAGCACACCAATAAATGGGCCAGACTGTAAAAAATACTCACTTCTTCATCACTTCAAAATAGCACATAGAGCTTTTACAAAAACAGAGGAATTCTGCCAAGTTGTTAAAGCTAAACATTATTCACACACTATTATAGAATCCTCTCCAGTAAGTGAAAAGTACTTTAACAGCTTAATTTACAGTCTGTTAAGAAAGTACACTAACGTGGGATTTTTTCATTTTAAAAAAAGTAAACTCGGAAAACGTAAAATAATGTTTTTGGTGTTGTTTTTAAGAAACAGTAGATATTTTTAAAATCTAGATCTAATTATATTACTATTGTATTATTTAATTTGCCACCCGTCTAAATACAAAATTTGTGTAATTGTGTTGACCCATATGGATAAAGTCTCAGAGTATGCTTCGTCAAAATAATTTGTTGTTTTTGATTCTGCCAGACATCACTATGAATATGTTGACTGATAATCTTATACCCGCATGTACTGGAGACCTGAACCATTTTGTAGCAGATCTTCAACTCCCCTCTTTCTACATTGCAGTAACCTCCCAGTTAAAGATCCTCTTGTAGACATTGCTTCTCCAGTGTATCAGGCTGTTCTTAAAAATCAGGTCAAAAACGAAAATGAGATTGACGATTGGGCACTTCGTGCTGCCAACCTGCAGTCCAAGTCATTCCGTGTCCTTGCACAGATTACAGGAACAGAATACAGTAAGTAGCTATTACTACCTATGAATGTAATGGGATAATATCTGAATGCTAAAAAATTCTGTCAGTACTTTTTATCACATGTTGGGCCACCTGACCCTATTATATGCTTACTATTACAACTATACATTTGAACAAAGTGTATTGATGTGACAAGTCATAGTGTCCACTGGAAGCTTATAAGCACCCCTGCCAATATCTTCTTTTGTTTGTTTTTTTGGTGTACTAGCTTTACTAGTTCAAAGAATATACACAGTATGGAACTGTTAAATGAAATATATTGAAATCAATATAATTCTTCTAGCTGAACATAAAGGCACTATGTGTACAGGTCATATATCAGTTGTGTTAACTTTTAAGGTTTTACAAGTTATTTGGTAATGGTAAATTGTAACCATTTGAAACACTTTATATAGTAGATCAGAATATCATACCCATGCTCAAAGTATGTATTACCTGTTAGTTATCTGATACCTAAATTTCACTAAGAAATGTTCTTTTTTTTCCCCTTCAACAGTGCAAGACCCTGATGAAGATGCACTGAGAAGATCAAGGTAGGCAACTAGCAGCAGAACAATGTGGCCATCTTAATAGATAACAAAATGCGTAAAGCTCTGAAGCAAAATTAATAAACAAAAGTTAAAATCAGATTTAACACCTAAGTTAATCTGCTATTGGCTTTCAAATTGGCAAATTTATGAACACCCAAACGAAATTATCTATTTTTCTTTTTTTTTAAATATTTCTAGAAAATTCATCTATAAATGATGTTGTGGCATTTTGATATGTGAGCAATTTATTTGGATATTAGTATTTGTTGCAAGAATATACTGATGTGCAATTAATGGAGGCTGCACACATATTATCGGATGATGGTTGACTATTTTGCAGAGAATCACCACTCACTAATGTAATATACACATACTATCATTTAAACAATGAATATGTATTTACAATAGCTAATTGTTTTACACTTAAATGGAAAGTCCTGTTTGTGGTACTCAGATACCATATACAAAAGAAGTAAAGTGGGTCTCCTTTGTCCCAAATTGCTACCATCACCTATAAACATTTCACAGTTTTACCTGGTATGAAGAGAATCTGTCTTGAAGCAAAATACCTATCTCAGAAGCCTTTGATATGACCAGCCCTTGGTTGAGTTAAAGGAGAACTATGAGGCGAGTGATTTCCACTCATCCTTATAGTTAGAGCCGGCCTGTGACAAAAAAGCTGTAAGCAGAAACATGCAGCTGATCCACTTACTTCCCGATCGTCTCCCTGCAGTGCCAGTTACCTCTCCCTGCAGGGATTCCCCCCTCTCCGATCCTCCAGCACTGACTGGAGGAAGGGATGGGGGCGAGGGTGGGCACAGCTGGCTCTGCCTCTAGATAGGCAGAGCCAGCTTTCACTCATGCAGCTGAGTGGATCTCGACAGTATTGTCAGGATCCGTCCCGGCTGCGGCGCTCTCAGTATATTGCGGGCAATAGCACGCAATATACTGAGTTTTGGGTCATTGGAGGAGGCTAGTATATGTCCTTCTGTGACCCTAAAAAGAACTATGGGGAAAAACACTTACCCCATAGTTCTCTTTTAACTTTGGAAGCCCTGGAATTAGTATGAAAACCAATGAAGTTAGGAAAAACTGTTTTCATTAGGCTTTTGAATCTGACATTTTGCGTCATAATATATTCTCTTTACTCTGAATGGTTTTGTACATAGTAGCAGTTTTTAGCAAGGGTCATCAAGAAAAATGGGTAGACTACATTGGCCACTCAGTTTTTACTTTCCTTCAACATTTAACCATTAAACAGTTCCACTATTTGCAAACACAGAATACTACAAGACCATCGTGCAACAAAAGGTATAAGCTAAAATATAAAATATATGATTAGTGCATTTGAATAAAAAATAACCCATTTCAGTTTATACAGTAGATATAACATTATAAAAATGAGAAACCTCCCTTAAATACCTATGACAGAAAACTCTAAAAAACAATAAAACCACATGTGCGTACACTTTGTAGATGCGTTGAAACGCCATTCAAAATAAACAGCACCACAAACAACGAGAGATGTGCGTTATATTACCATGTGGTTCAACAACATAATAGTGCATTCTAGATACGTTCAACACCACACTTTACTTTCTTTGGATTTTGTTTTTTTCCTAAAAAGTAATATCTTTTGATACTATTGTAATCATTTGCTGAGGGTGATGGCTGGTAGTGTGGTGTGCTTGCAATTGCAGTTGTACCCGTTTTACCGACACATACATTTACCTTGTGAGGGGAAAAACTTGCTACAGGTAGAAAAATCATGCATCTTAGGGTAGAAAACATATTGCAACATTTAGCAGCATGTCAGTGTGACATCTCAAAGGCTTACTAGTCAATTACAGAGCCATCTTGGCAAACGACTATCCAAATAAACTGCTGTATTTCTAGGCAGGGGAGTGACGGTCACTATCCCTAACCCCTTTCTTTATTCCTCCTCTCTCTCTCTCTTTCTCTCTGTTTCTCCATGCCACAGGGAAAAGTTTGAAACGGAACGTAACAGCCCACGCTTTGCCAAATTGCGCACCTGGCATCATGGCCTTTCAGCACAAATCCTTAATGTCAAAAGTTAAATGCCCACGTGTAACACAATATCTATTGAAAAGCAATGAAACACTCTAAAATGTTCTGCATCACTATGCAGATACAATCTACCATATACATAAAATATAAATATATAAATAGAAAAAAAATAACCCACAGGGATGTGTTCTTTTAGTGCCTGTCATTACCTTATTTTCCTGTTATCATTTTAACCCACCATTGTCAAACATAATAAAATAGTTATTGGTATTTGCTTTGTGTTGCATTTAGAGCCTAAAACTGCTGTTTGAAATTAAGTTTCTCTTGTATTTCCTTTCCTTTAAATAGAAACAAAAGCTAAAAAAAAACTAACCTTAGTCAGGTGTTGTGTGATCTTGGTAGACATTAGTGATCTGGAAAGTAGGGAATGTGTAGCGTGAGTAGGATGCATGCCTGCTATGCAGGTGGATGATCAGCACTGGCTTAGTGGAAGAGATGCCAGGTGGTCAAGCTTGACTGAAATATAGTTAGTTGGGACTGTTTTATTTTTGTAGTGTAGATATTAGAGAGTGTATTGTAAGCCAAAGCAGAGGAACAGCTCCTGCTATGTTGTTGATTTGCAGTTCCCAAATCTCTTTGCTAACAATTATTTTGCTTTTGCATTATTTTACTGCCTTCCTATATAGGTAAAATAGTAGTAGATTGGGTTTCTTTTGTAAATGCTCATTTCTAGCAACCCTTTCAACTCCCTGATCCCTTATGTGGTGGGTGCTGGCAATATCTGTACAGTTGTGAGCCCTATTAATGACAGTGCAAATAATTTTAAAGAAGTGGTTAAGCCTTTAGTTTGTATAGTGTGTGTATGGTTTTAATGTTTTATTTTACATAGATTCTATAATCATAATTTTAATACATAGTTAATAGCAATGGTTTATGGACATCCCTTGGTAGGGATTGTTTGCTTAAAATGATTATTGATTAACTGGATGATGAATTTCTAATGTCTAGATCACAATTTCTTTTCAGTGGCTAATATGCTACAGAAACCTTGACAAATTTGTTATACTTGATGCTAAAAACAGTCTAGATATAATAGAAACAGTGGATACATATGATAATCCTCTTCAGTATCAATTATATATTTTAACTATTAAAAAGTAGAATAGAGGTATTAGTTACATAAGGATGCATTCAGTGGGGTAGTCATATACATTTTATGATTGGAATCCAAGATGGATGATGTAATATAAGATGTTGTATTGCATTCAATGATGTACTGTTTTGATGTTCAAATTACAGATTCAATTTTCTGTATTGTTTTTGCTCATGATGATATTCTGTAATAGAACCACATTATGTGTTTGTGTTTTGTGTTTTGACAATAAAGTGGTTCATAAAAACATCATGCTGTATTTGCCTAAATGAAACAGTCAGGTTGACTGTCAAAAAAGAATGATGACTACTAGAGAAATATAGCTTCTATGATAAGCTGAATAGCCTACAAACATCAAAACTAAATAGAGAGAAACATTTGTCAAGTATATTAATCTTCTTAAAATATCAAAATGCTAAATGTTTTAAATATAGAAGCACACTATCTTATATTTGCCAGTGTTTTGAATTTTTTTTGTTGGTGGACATAAGGTGAAATTACTGAAGAGTAAATTCTTATTCTGAAAAAATACTAGTTAGTTAAAACATCTATAATATTACACATTTCATGTAAGTTTTAGATGCATTCCTCCTATTCACATAACGTTTAACTGCTTTTAACATTCATATTTAACGGTTACATTTTTAAAAGTATCTTTTACAAAAGTCTACTCAAAAAAGGGAAAACACAGCAGAGATGAGTATTTTAAAACAACCAATCATCAAATGGCATACTGTGGTTTACCATTGGTATGATTGCCCTTGGTTGCTGTCCACCACTGTTTTACACTCTATGCTATAAGAAAATATAAATCTAAATACTTAAATTGAGCTAAACTCGCAGTCAAAAATGTAACCTGTTTTTATTAGAACTCTTTTGCCAAGGCTTCTTAAACCTAATGGGGGGAATTTATTAATACTGCAGCAGACAGAATCTGGAGCAGTTGGCTATAGCAACCAATCAGTTTCTCTCTTCAGTTTCTTCAGTTAAGATTTAAAAATGAAACATGGAAGCTGATTGGCTGCAGTGCACAGCTGCTCCAGATTTTATCTGCTCCAGTTTTGATACATTCCCTTTATGTGTTTTCAAGTCACCACTTCCATCACAAAGACAGAAGTTAAAAAACATGCAATTATTTTCTTTACTCTCCAGCAGCAACGTTGCATCCAGAACAGCTAGTTTATGACATATATAAAGCGCTAATAATTTAATTTGTGTACAGAAGTGCTACCTCTGATCAATGCAATATTTATTTACCATGTTATGAAAGCTGCTTCCTAATTCCATGCAGCTTGATATTATAAGTAATGCATATGCAGTTGTATTTACCATCATAAAACAACATGGCTACTACACAACTTTATGCACAGTCTGATAACTAACATTCATAATTGCTCTATTTCTCTATTATAAAATAAATTACAAATAATTCCTGTTTTAACTCCATTTGATGTATTGCCCTAAATACCTAATACACAGTAACAGGAACATAGGAAAGATCAAATAATCTTTTTAGTAAATTTCTGTTTTTAGCGTTTACACCTTAGCAAATTAAAATTTAGTACAAACTACATCTATATTTAATTTTTAATAACTAGTCCTATGATCACAGTCTGCAGAATAAGAAAATGTAAAAGTCTCAGAAAAAAATGTTATCAAGAGAGATTAAAATGTAACTTTAGAAAGGAAATGCTAACCATTGGGGATGATTTACTGAAGGCAAATAAGCTGCTTACTTAGCAAAGTGAATTTTTACTTTGCAGGGCAATGTCCTCTTAGCTTAGTGAATGAGGTGAAGCTCTGCTGATTTCCATCATCCAAT